CTATGTAAAGGACCTAGATGCTGTCCAGGACACAGCTGTTGCTCCATAAATGTTGACTGTATTCCCAGCATGCTTTCCAAAGCTCAGGAAGGGAACTGTGCTCTTTGGAGAGAAATCTCCAAATTCTCTCCCAGCACTGTTCTCCCTCTCTCCAACTTCAGTTTCAAATCTGTGACTACAATTTCAGTCTAGACACTTCCCTGGTAGCAACCTTAGAAGCAACTACAATTAGTGCTACACCATTCATATTAAACATGGCAAAGTAGCACCTACAATTGTGGACTCATGCAGTCTCTGTAATTATACAGGTAGTAGAGGAAGGGTCTATAGGTCACCTACCACTCAGCTTCATGCACTTTTCCTAGATGCTTCCTTTATGTCCCTCCATCCATTGAGCAATATACAGACCAAAAAAAAAAGATAGACAGTCCTCCCCCAAACTAGGCCCCCTGTACTTCCTTACCTCTCTGCTAATTGAAATGTTCTTTTCCTGGTCAACCAGGAAAATCATACTCAAGGCTTGACAGCATCCTTAGCAAGACCCCCCCAACCATTTGGTACCAAATTGTCATAATCCTGTCCTTGGCATGATTCTGTCTCCTACACCCCTTTTCCTTATAGTTTTATATTCAAAACCTTATACAAGGTAGGACACAGTAGGTAATCTCCCAGTAGACAAAAGGTTTAAGTTGTCAATGACTTCATTTTGCTTGGATCCACAATCAACACCCACAGTAGTAGCAGTCAAGAAATCACAAAAATGTGCTGCTTTGGGAGAATCTGCTGTCAGAGACTTCTCCAAAGTGCTGAAGAGAAGATATTAAAGACTAAAGTAAGCCTGATGCAACCCTTGGTATTTTCATTTGCTTCGTATGCATCTGAAAGTAGAAGAAAGAATTAGGATGACAGAAGAAGACTCAGTAAATTTGAATAGTAATGCTGGCAAGACTACTGAATATCCACGCACTGACAAAGGAACAAACACATATCTCTTGAAGGACATGTCACCAGGTTGCTCCTTAGAGAGAAAGATGGTGAAACTTCGTCTCATATACTCTGGGTCTGTTGTCAGGAGAGGACAGTCTTTTGAAAAAGACATCATGCTGGGAAAAGCAATTGTTCTGGCGTACTACTAAGTCAGAACCCTCTAGTGGGTTTTAAGAGGCAATAAATCACAAATAAAAGGAGACTGCTCATCTTTCTCCTATGGAGAAGCTGGTGGATTAAAACTGCACACCTTTGGGTTGGCAGTGCTGGACGCACTTATCAAGTTGTGCCAAGAAACCTGGAGGAAAACTACTTGGCCAACTGACTGGAAGAGATCCATATTTGTTCTCATTCCCAAGAAAGGTAACCCGACAGAGTGTGGAAGTTATAGAACAATATCATTAATATTACATGCAAACAAGATTCTGCTGAAAATTATCCAAAAACTACTGGAACAGCACATTAGCAGAGAACTTCCAGATGTGCAGGCTGGGTTTAGAGGAGGCTAGATGGATCTTGGCTGAAAGCAGAGAGTACCAGAGGAATGTCTATCTGTGTTTCATTGACTATGCAAAGGCATGTGGCTGTGCAGACCACAACAAACTTTGACTAACTCTGAGAAGAATATGAAACCCAGAACACTTGATTTTGCTTATGTGAAACCTATACTTGGACCAGGAGGCAGTCATCAGAACAGAGCAAGGAAAACTCTGCATGGTTCAAAATTGGGAAGAATGTACTCCAGGGATGTGTCCTATCTCCATACCTTTTGAATTTATATGTGGAACAGATCATCCAGGAGGCTGAACTCTATGAGGCAACAGGATTGGAGGAAGGCTCATCAACAAACTGTGTTATACAGATGACACAACCTTGATTGCTGAAACTAAGGAAATCCTGAAGGAACTGCTGCAGAAGGTCAAGGGCTGAAGCCTTCGATATGGATTGAAGCTCAACCACAAGAAAATAAAGATTCTCACCATTGGGCTGAATGGCAGCATCATGATAGATGGTGAAAAGATTGAAATTGAGATTGTTAATAGCTTACGTTTTCTTGGCTCCACAATCAACACTCTTGGTATCACCAGCCAGGAAATCAAATGATGATTTACACTGGGAAAGTCTGCTGTCAGGGACCTCTCTAGAGTACTAAAGAGCAACAATGTCAGTCTGGAGACTAACGTATGCCTGATCCAGGCCATGGACTTCACAATTACTTGTTATGCATCAGAGAGCTGGACAAAGACTAGGGATGACAGAAAGAGAATTGCTGCCTTTGAGCTGTGACACTGGAGAAGAGTACATGGACTACTAGGAGAGCAAACAGATTTGTTCTGGAGAGGGTGAAATCAGGCTGCTCCTTGGAGGCAAAAAATCTGAAGCTTTGTCTGACATACTTTGGACACGTTGCAGGGAGGGACCAGTCATTGGAGAGGGACATCCTGCTTGGGAGGATGGAGGGACAGCACACAATTGGAAGATCCTTGATGAGATGGATTGACTCAGTGACTGGGGTAATAGGAGTTGTTGTGTCAGAGAGAGTAATATTGGCTCTGGATAGAGCAGGGTTCAGAGCTTCTGTACACAGGGTCACTATGAGTCACAAGAGACTCACTGGCACATAACAAAAAGCCACCAGAGGGTCAGTGAAAGAGAGGAAGACCTCTGTTCCTGTGTCAATCAATAAGACTAATTGATACAGTGACTGTAATCAGGGGCTCGAGCATGTCAGAGATCATAAAAATGGAGCAGGATAGGGTATTGTTCAGATCTATTGTTCACCAGGTTGGCACAATGGCATCTTATAACAACAAAAAAGGACGTACGTTACCTTAGAGCCAAACCCACACCTGCTCACGAACTCCTAAGCATTCCACTGCCATATTTACCATTTTATACCAATGCACCTCTAAAGCACTTTCAAACCAAGATCCTTCACAACTGAGCTACTGAATGTAACCACTTAATAGTTGTGTAAGAGGCTCCAGTGGAGTGGACAGGGGAAGAGGTAAATGAGCAGGAGAGCCTGTGCAGAAAGTGCCAAGATGGGACAGCACAGAACAAGAGACAAGAGCAGGAGGCACTGCTCACTTACCATTCTGCCTAATGTCTTTGATCAATGTCTGCATGCCAGTCAGCACCCTGGAGAACTGATGAGAAGGACAAGTAACCAGAAAGCTACGTCTCAGTGGACAAGAGACCAGGACACAGAACTCAGGTGCACAGAAGGTCACAAACACAGTAAAAGATTAAAAATCTCAGAAGTTCACCATCCATTCATATCTACGTTGGACAACAGACTAAAAAACGCAAACTCTTTACTATCGAGTAGGTAGGACTGACTCACAGCTGACTCTCCAACAGTTTTTTAGGAGGCTGTAAATTGCACAGGAGGAGATGGTCCATCTTTCTCCTGCAGAGTGGCCTGTGGATTCAAACTATCCAAGAGGGGCCACCTCTGGATAAGCACCGCAACTCCCTACAGAGCAGGCCAACAGAGCTCTCTTCTAGAAATGTTATTCTATAGTGCACAAGTAAGGAGTGCTGCTGATGGTGTACTGCCTAGTGTTAGCTGCTCTGCTAACCAACAGGTCAGTGGTTCAAATCCATTTGCTCCTCCGAGAGAGAAAGATAGGGAAGTCTCCACCTGTAAAAGTTTTACAGTCTCAGAAACATAATAGAGGGTCACCATCAATCCGAATTGATTCACTGGCGTAAGTATTCCTTCACATCTGTTCAGTGATTCCCTTTTGATGCTTTAAAGTTCTGCAAATGGCTGTACTAAATCATATAATTATGTAAAGGTGTTCGTTGGTGGTGGGGGGGTGGAGAATGAGTGTTAACTTTCAGTCAAAGTAACTTCAACTAGACTCTTCCTATGAAAAAAGTGGATGAGGCTCTCACGGCCTAGTGGGAAGAAGCTGTGCTGCAATCCTGAGGGTACACAGTTTAAATCGGCCAACTGCTCCACAGGAAAAGAAGGATAGACAATCTCCTCTTGCTGGAGGGTTAGCTATATATAGATCAGTTCTGACTCTATAGTACACACCAACAATAGTAAGAAAAGTGGAAGTACTGTCAGTACTTTTAAACATACCAACAGAAAAGAGTCCTATTTCCCAATGTTTTGATCTGTCTAGTCATCTATTCATTTAGGAAACTTCGGAAGCAAGAATCTGTGCTGCAATCCCAAAGGAACATGGTTCAAATCCATCAGCTGCTCTGTAGGAGAGGGTTAAGCAATCTACAAACTGCCTCTATAAACCTGCTTGGTGGTCAGCTATGCCTTGGTTATGACTCAACAGCACACAAGAAGAAGTCATTTACTTGTATTTAAAGAGAAATTTTAATTTTACTTCTCAAGACAACACATATTACATTGCTGTCTGAAGATTCACAGCTCTAAATATCAGTGATTCGGCAAGGGGAGCAGGAGGGAATTTCCAAGATATGAAAGGTGAAGATATTTACTAGCAACCTGGTAATGTGTAAAGTATGAGCAATGATTAAGTCACCATAGTGATATTTCTTTTTTAAAAAAAAAAATCTCCTCTGGCTACAATGACAATCACAAAACTGCCTTAATTTCGGGTTGTGAGGTTCAGACAAAATTCATATAAGATCTTTCTCCAGTTAAAGTTTATTGCCTCAGAAGCTGGATGGAAGGTTGCTATGAATCAGAATCGACTCAATGGGTTAGGTTCATTAGAGATAGGGAGAGATAAAGGATATAAATGTTGAGTTGCTAAATTAAGAAAAATAACTGTAACTAGAGTTGAATCACTTTCTTGCACGGGTTTTACAAAGCATTATTTCAAAGTAAAAAATAAATCTGTGTATTTGTATTCAATTATGGTAAAAATGAATGAAAACGTCCCATCTATCAGCGACTTGAGGACCAGCGAGTTTGTGTGCTAAATCCAGCACATACATGGGCTGCATAGTGGTCACTGGGGGTCCCGTGCTGTCTCTGTGGTCAGGACACAGATGGGGCGCACGTGGGCAGGCTTTACCTCCTTGCTGCGGTGCCACAGCTGCTGCTCGGTCACCGGGAAGGCCGTCTCCTCCAAGATGAGCTCCTTGATGTGCAGGACAGTCGCACTGGGCAGGACACGGAACGTCCTGCAGCCCACGCAGCTCGGAAGGACGGTCACCCGGACCCACCTGCGCAAACGCAAAGGGACTCAGTGGGGCTGGCGCTGGCTGTCCGGCCACGTGGGGGGCGGGGGCGGCGCCCACTCGCGTCCCCGCGGGCGCCCTCCCGCCCCGCGGAGGTTACCTGTCCCCCATAGCGGGCGTCCTCTGCCGCAGGCCGCGCAGCGGGGCCGCAGGGCGGGAAGCCTCTGGGGGGACTGCGGGGCCTGGGCTGCAAGGCCCGCACCACGCGCGGCGCCCAATCACCGCGGGTGCCGCAAAGGGAGCCACGGCCGGGTAGGTTCCCCGCCCACAGAGCCGCCCTGCGCGGGCCCTGAGCACCGGGCTCCCATTGCTCCCCTCCGATGGGCCCGAGCGACCTCGGCTCAGAAATGCAAGAGGAAGAGACGAAGGGGCCCCGGAGAGGAGCTCGGGCGGGGTGAGGCGGCGACGCGCGCTCCCGGGGCCGCTCGCGGGCACGCGCTCAGGAACCGTTAGCTGAGGCCGCGGGCGCGCTCCGCAGGGCCCTCACCGGTCCCTCCCAGGCCCGCCCCACCGACCCCTCCCCGCCCCGCCTCCAGCAGCCACGCTGCGCGCTTTGGCCACGCCCCGTCAGTCAACGCTCCGCCCCCATCGTTCACGCCCATGCCCCGCCCTCACTCTAGAGCCCCGTCAAACTTTTGGCTCAGGGCCTGTGCAAACCTTAGAAGTAATATGCTTATGCGTACAGCTTAGAGAGGAGGTGCACTCAAAAACTCCATTCCATGCAGAATAGGTGCTTCTTTAGAAATCTCTTTCGACTCTAGTAGTTTTAACCTATGAAAGCATCTCCTGTAAGAAGGATAACGGTCTGTCTCTTAGGTCCAAGATAACACTTCCTCTTAACGTGGAAGTCTGTGTGGAATGTCATTCCCTCCCCTTGATTTAGTTCTCAAAGATGAATGAGCTGCCTTGCAGAAAGTGCAGTAAATGTGAAGGCAATTCAAAGGGCACATTCTGAACAAGTCAACTTGTAGCTTCTATCTTAAATACCCGGAACGGAACTAAATTTTAAGGTTGATTTTATAAATGACATTAATTTGTGCTTCTCAGTTCTCTCCCTCTACTTTATACGCGCGCGCGCGCACACACACACACACACACACACACACACACACACACACACATATTCTGATGGGTTTGTCCATAACAAGTTACACCGCTATCCCAAAGGCCACACCGGTCTAGTGGTGCAAACCAGCAGCTGCTTTACCAGACGACAGTGATTTACAGACTCCAAAAACCTGTTGATGGGTCAGCTGTGAGGAAGTTTCAACTCGATGGCAATGTTATTGTTGTTTGATTGCCTTCAAATCGAGCATGACTCATGGCAACCCTATGAACAAAAGGCCTGAAGCCTTTCTATAACTGTAGACATTTATCAAAGTACATAGTTTCCGGAGGCATGTTGTTTAGGAAGTGGTTGTGATTCGTGCTTCCAAACCTGTCTTAAACTGGGAGCTCCGCCAAACACTGTCTACCATGGGTAACCGATGGCAATGAGCACTTTATATCTATATGAACCTCAAGTTCTCTCTCTATATATATAGTGTTGTTGTGTACCATAGTCAGAACTGACCCAGAGTTGACCCTCCAGAAGGTTTTCAGAGGCAGTTAATAGCACGGAAGGAGATTGCCCATCCTTTTCACATGGAGGAGCTGGTGGCCTTGAACCACGTGCCTTTGGGATTGCAGCTCAGCTTTTTGACACTAGACCACCAGATGAGTCAATTGTGAAGGAAGTTTCAACTCCATGGCAATATCCATCTATCTATCTATCTATCTCCTTTTTTTTTAACTCAGAACTCATATTCAGTAATATATACATAGCGTCTGTCAGTGTGCTGTACTGAAATAACTTGGGCTTGCTGGGATGCTGAAAGTTATGCCACTGGTGTGTCAAATGTCATAAGGGTTACCCATGGTGGACAGGGTTTGGTAGCGCTCCCAGAGTAAGACAGACTAGGAAGCAGGATTGACATCTACTTCTTACTTTTTTTTTTTTTTTTTTTTTTTTTTTTAAAAAAAAAAACCCCACCCCCCCCCTCCCCCTCCAGGGGGGGGAAAAAAAAACCATCATCAATGGCAAGTGGCAGTTGCAACGAAGCAACACCAAGAGCCGGCTTCACGCTCAGGAGAGAACGCTGCGTCTCCTCCTCATGGTTTTCGGTGCTCTACACGATCAGAGAAACTTCTCTAGTAACGAACTATAGAAATGATCCCTGAAAGTATAGTCTTGACATCTACTTCTTAAATAACAGGCCTTTCTGTTTATAAACACTAAAGGAATGATGCTGGGAAGAGTGGAGCAGCAAGGAGACGAAGACTCTCAGTCAGGTAGATTGATGTGGTGACTACCGCAATGAGCTCTTGTGTGACAGGAAGTGTGAGGATGGTACGGTGTTCAGATCTCAACAGCACCACTACCAACAAGAAGCCCTTACCTACAGCTTTTCTGTTGCTTGTTTCTAACCATTCTTAAAGGAAAAGTGCTATAAATCATGTTTCTTTCTCCACTTGTTCACCCAGTTAGAACAGAAATGCAATACAATATAAAGATCAGGTCAGAAAACCCTAATGATGAAATATTTACTTCTTCAATTGATCAAAGTCATGCCACCAAATGCATCAGATAACAACACGTATATAAAAGCTGTCATGTCTGCCAAGAGACCTGTCTCTTTTGTGTCATGTTCTGTGAGACCTGAAAGCTGAGATCTTGCAATGGTATCACAGCACTCCCACCCTGACATCAACAATAACACTCCTCCCTTTTTCTTTGACTCTCTTTAATTTCTGTAACTTTTAGAAAATTGTTTGTATGACAGTTCACAAAGCAAACCATTTTCCGTTGAAAAATTTCACATACTTTGCTCCATTATAGTCCCCTCAAGGTAATAGCACTCTTCCAACTTTCTGCATGGGTTCTATGTCTCCATTCATTCTCTTTTATGCCCCTTCCTGCCTTCTGAGCTTTGTTTAATTTAGAGCAAATGCTACACTTTTGGTCTCAGTTTGTTGACTGTTTCAAGAAGTATGCTCTTCATGGTAATGGTGGTGGTTGTTATGTGCCATCAAGTCTCCTGCTACTCATAGTGACCCCAAGTGCAATAGCTCTGAACCCTAATATATCTTGAGCCAATTTCATCATCTCTGATACACCTACCCCTATTACTTCAGTTACTGAGTCAATCCATCTCATCTAAGGTCTTCCTTTTTTTTAATCTCCTTCCACCCTTCCAAGAATAATGACCCTCTCAAAGGACTGCACCCTCCTTGTTACATGCCCAAAGCATGTGAGATGGAGCTTCAAAATCCTTACCTCCAAAGAGCAGCCTGGTTTCACCTTCTCCAGGACAAACTCGTTTGTTCTCTTAGCCTCTATAGTATGTTCAATACTCTTCTCCAGCACCACACCACAGCTCAAAAGCATCGATTCTCTTTCTGTTATCTCTAGTCATTGCCCAGCTCTCTGATGCATAGCAAATAATTACAAAGACCATGGCCTGGATCAGGTGCACCTTAGACTCTAGACTGACATCATTGCTCTTCAGTACTCTAGAGAGGCTCCTGACCGAAGATTTACTTGTTATTGTTGTTGTTGTTAGGAGGCACTTGAGGTAACTACAACTCACAGTAACCCTGTAAAAAACAAATTTGAACCGTTCCCTATCCTGTGCCATGCTCAAGCCCATTTTTGTAGTCACTGTCTCAATCCATCTTATGAAGGGTCTTCCTCTCTTTCTCTGACCCTCCACCTTTCCCGGCATGATGTCTTTTTCCAAGAGCTGGTCCTTGTTGTCCTCATGACAACAAACCCAAAGTAAGTGAGATGCAGTTTCACCATCTTTGCCTCTAAGAAGCACCCTGGTTGTATTTCCTCCAGGACAGACTTGTGTGTCTGTCTACTATTTGGCTGAAAGGTCGTCATGGAAAGGGGTGAGGGTTGTGTGTGGGCTCAGTTTCAGCTTTGAAAGGTGTTTGTCTGTGAGGCCTGGTCTTGGGGATTCTGCCAGTCTCTGTCAGAGCAGTAAATCTGGTCTTTTACAAATTTTGAATTTTGTTCTACATTATTCCGTACTTTATCTAGGCCCTTCTCCTTTGATCTTATCACAGTCAGTAGTGGTAGTCAGGCACCGTCTAGCTCTTCTGGTCTCAGGGTAGTAGAGGCTGTGCTTGCCCTAGTTCACTGTGTACCATTGCTATGCAACAAAACGGGTATAGAACATCATCTTTGGGGACTATTTTATGCAAATTGGCCTAGTTGTTTTCTGAGACTTTGGTCCTAAGCCCCCAACTCCAATTACTCAGCCCTTCTTATGACTAAGTTTGCATAACTTTGCTCCTAAATGCTCTACTATATAGGTGGATATATTTGCAACGTTATAAACATGTATATAGAAATATCCATTGCCAAATATATATATCAGGAGCTCTCTCTTAAGCCAATAAAAGTGTTAAAGAATCCTACCAGATGATGCAAATTACGTTCTTCTCATTCTCATATTCATTCTCTCTCTTTCTCACTCACCAATCTGTTCCCCTTCTCTAAAATTACTTCCCTCTCGATGTGTTACACAAACTTTGACATCTTCTGTTTGACCGCCTTCTGTTACGAAGCCTTCCCCAAGCTAAAACAGACTAATCTTTTTGTTCTTCTTTACACCTGAAGAATAGAATTATCTTTTTTGTATGTGTGCACCTACTGTGTTCATTTCAGTGAGCTTTTTATTTGTTTTCCTGTTGTGTACCATTGAATCAAATCCGATTGACATAGGAGGAGACTTCCCATCCTTCTCCAGTGGAGCATCAGATGGATTTGAATCACATACCTTCAGGATTGCAGCACAGCTTCTTGCCACTAGGTCATCAGAGTCCCTACAGTGAGCTTTTTAAAGGGGAGAGCTGGTCACATTGTAGGCTGTGCAGCTACTAGACCCCAGCACTGTAACCTGATGTTTGTGACCGTGGTAACCAAATCAAAATTAGATCCTTCTTCAAAAAAGAGCTGTTCATCAAATAGTCACATTCATAAATTAAAAGCTCAGGAGCATGAGAGCTTTGAGGAGAGCAGGTGGCACAATCCATGGGGAATTGTACTGTTAATCCAAAGACCTCACCTCTCTGGAAGTCTGAACACACCAACAGCATCTCAGGAAAAAGATGGGCAATCTCCTCCCGTGCAATTTACAGCCTCCAGAATCCCCTGGGTCTGACTCAACAAAAGTGGCTTTGAGTTTCTGTTTGGGTGGCATGGTGTGAGGTTGTTTTTGTTTTGACAAATTGGAATCATGTAGAAAACTTTCAAGTGTGTTTTCGTTTGTTTGTTTGGGTTTGTTGTTTTGGTTTTGCTTTACTATTTACCGTTCTATGATTCTGTCATTTAGAGAGCAATCCCTGAAGAGAGATAACATGCTTGATCAGTGAGAGGGTCAGTGCAAAAGAGGAAGCCTCTCAAGGATCTGGACTGGTGCAGTGGCTGCAACGGTAAGTTTAACCAGAGCAGAGAGTGTGCGACGGCAGTGGTGTGGGGACGGGGTGGGGTGTTCTGTTGTACAGAGGTTGCTATGAGTCAAAACCAGCTTGACACCACCAAACCACAAAAATT